TGTTTAAAAAGTGTCAACATTTTCATTATTTTCTTTTCTCTTATATCTTGTAGACTCTCTTCAAAATAATCAATAACAGAATATATATTGTCTTTACATCACTATCCAATATTATTTTAACACATCCAAAATCGAACAAAAGTAAGAACAGAGCCTAAATCTGATGCATTTGAACCACATTGCTGAACCGCCAATCACCAGTTCAAATTGCGAGTTGCAGCTTAAATATCAGAACACTGATTAAAATTTTAAGTTCAGCCAACCACTTCTAATTTTTGAACGGCGTCTGGACTTGTCAAAAATTCTTTAAATTCGGCCTCATGCAAATTTCACTCGAAGGGGATCATTTTTTTGGCTTACCGTCCTGTTTTGTCTCATATAGTCTGTATTTGTACTGTACTGCTTGCCCTAGATAGTAGTTGAAACTTGGCCCGGTACATGGAATGAACTGGAATGTATTGTGGCTCCTGATATTGTGAATCTCAGGATCAAGTAATTGATCTCCATATTATATTATGCAGACTTAAAGATTATTTTTTAATTCCCCTTATATATCATGAGGTGGTCATACCCTGCAGGGATAACTTTAAATGAAGGATCAAGCATTATCCCAAAATTTAAAAGTTTCCACATTGAATATCAACATCAAGTGTTTAATATTAAAGATACTCTACACTTAAAAGTTCATACCTACAATTACACACTCACCTTAAATTAATTATCCATATCCATGCAATCTAATAACACATTTTATAAATATAAAGTTAAGTTACAACCTATATTTGTCAAATTCTATTCAATGCATCTGTTCAAAGTACATATTTCATTATATCTTTTATTTTTTTGTACACAATTTATGAGTCGCAATTAACCATTTTGTCCTTACAGATAGAAGTAAAATTATTAGCGATCCCCATCGAAATCGATTCGACGTCAGCCTATACCCCCTTTCATTATTTGCGAACACTCCCTATAAAGTTTTCAGTTTTAATCAATGAGAAGTATAGAATTCTTCACAATTTAATATTATTTGCAAATCGTATGGGATAAGCTTCCCATCCAACAGTTTGGGTATTGGCAAAAAACTAAAATTTCTAAAATCCCTATATCTTTGCATTCTTTGAAATGGTCTAAACCTTTGATAATCCTATTTAAATTCTTTGATCCAACAAATTTCATTTTGCAACATTATAAGTTATAGGACTGGATTAGAAAATCCTGGTTGTAGCAAAAACTCAATTCCTTTGCCTAATATATGCGTACTTAACTGTTTGAAAAAGAGAAGAGAAAGAAAAAAGCAAAAAAACAAGTGCATTACAAAAATTATAAAAGAAGTTACCCTATTACATACAGGATCAATTTGAACATGTGATCTGATAAACATTTTTTTAAACCAAGGAAAATGCAGTAAAAATGTTGATATTTTAGGAGAGGAAGTGAAGTAAATCTTCTCTTGTTCCAGGATCCGACATTACTCATTTGCGGATTTCATAATCCTAATTCGGGAATTTCTTCTTCAACAATATATCGTTTATTTATTACAAATTAAAAAATATATTTCTGTATATAAAGAATTAATCACTAATCTGGTTAACATGCAAAATCCCAAGAAAATTGGTTTAAAATTAAAAAAAGTAAAACATTTTTGGCGTTTTTATGGAAAATGTGGACATTCCCTTTTGTAATATCAAGGTAGGGTGCAAGATTATAAACATTTTTGAAAAACACTTTATCTTTTCAGGCTGCAAGATTAAAGCAAAAAGAAAACAGTTCAAATCCTGTTGTTTTTGCAACGCTTGATTGCGGAAATGCAGGCCAAGAAATTTGCAACAAATATGGCATTAAGGTGACATTTATACAAATAAAAAGGGCATCCATAACTTTGGCAATTAGTTTGAAGTATTATTTCATATTTTCTTTGTCTTTTTAACTTTACAACAACTTATCATTTGATAAAATTAATGCTATTTCATTACATTATTAACTCATCTTCATGAAACAATCAGACTTTTAATTTTTCAAAGTTAGCAAAGCTTTAACGAGGGATTTGAGCTTTTGTAACACAAACTAAATTTTCTAAATCCTATATCTTTAAAATCTGATGGTATAGACCTATCACATTTCAAACATAGATTTATTGGTCTCACATAATTCATAGTTTGAAATATCTTAGGTTTACTACAAAGGGTTGCAAAGATATAGGGATTATAAAATCTGAGTTTGTGGCAAAAACTCAATTCTTTAACACTATTTCCTGAAGACCTGTTCGGCTAGGAGTAAGCAGGATTATAAAATTGGCATTTACACGATAAACCATATGAACACCCTGATAAGGCGCGTGCATCTAATTGTTAAGTAGTGTAATAAATCTAAAACTTGATCAATTTACAAGCAGAGTAGCACAGATGAAGAAACTTATTCGAAATTTGTATAAATATATCAGATCAGTAGGGTTTAGGTTAGATATAACTAGAGTTCAGGTAAGAGATGAATAGGGTTCAGGTTAGAGATCACTAAGGTTCAGGATAGAGATGAGTACTGATCAGGGTTCAGCTTCAGGTAAGAGATAAGTAGGGTTCAGGTTAGAGATGAGTAGGGCTCAGGTTAGAGATGAGTAGGGTTCAGGTTAGAGATGAGTAGGGTTCAGGTTAGAGATGAGTAGGGTTCAGGTTAGGGATGAGTAGGGGGGTTCAGGTTAGAGATGAGTAGGGTTCAGGTTAGAGATAAGTAGGGTTCAGCTTAGAGATGAGTAGGGTTCAGGTTAGGGATAAGTAGGGTTCAGCTTAGAGATGAGTAGGGTTCAGGTTAGGGATGAGTAGGGTTCAGTTGAGATGAGTAGGGTTCAGGTTAGGGATGAGTAGGGTTCAGGTTAGGGATGAGTAGGGTTCAGATTAGGGATGAGTAGGGTTCAGGTTAGAGATGAGTAGGGTTTAAGATAGAGATGAGTAGGGTTCAGGTTAAAGATGAGTAGAGTTAAGATAAGTGAGAATGATTCAGTTAGGAGAGATTTCTGTTAAACTAACCTAAGCCCTACATTTCTCAACCTTAATTCTTTACAGATGCTTCCATGCTTTTCTGAAAAGAGTGTGAATTTGGTCCTTTAAAAAATAAACTGAATTCATGAAGGTTAAATTCTTTCAAATCATATTCTCTTTGTATCAAAAGCAATGTCCATTTTACCAACACATACAGAACAAAGCTATTACTTAAGAAAATAAATTCTAATTTTGTCAAATCTAAATACACGTATGTCATCATAATCTATTTTGACTAATCTATTTTTGTCTCCTATGGTCACAATTGTTTCTTTTCTGGCTAACATATTTGAAAAATATTTGTTTTATTATCCCTTTGATAAAAAATTGTTCCTAAAATAAAGATAAATTCTCTAGTCGAAAGTTAGAGAAGCAATTTTATTTTTTATAAACATTATATTTTTCTGAAAAGTTGACCAAAACAAAAAGTTGTCGGAGAATTTCAAATTTCTCTAAACCCATTATTTATCTTTTTAAAAACTTGTAAAAAGTTTGGTGGAGTAGCACTCTGCTAAAATTGTAAACTAGGTTTGCAATTCTGATTATCAGAAAATTGGAGGCTTTAGAGAGCTTCTAAACCAATTTGTTAGCAGTGAAGACTCCAGAGAGTTATTTAAACCTTAAAAGTCCAGGGAGGGGAGGGGGGGGGAGGATGTTTCCCCTCATCTAGTTTTTTTACTAAAAGCTCTAGCATTTTTGAAAAATCAGTCACTTTAAGATGTTCTGTTCCTTGTTAAAGACCCTACCTGGAGTAAACTGTTCCCTGATATAGACCCTACCTGAAGTAAACTGTTCCTTATTATAGACCATACCTGAAGTAAACTGTTCCTTGTTATAGACCCTACCTGGAGTAAACTGTTCCTTATTATAGACCCTACCTGAAGTAAACTGTTCCTTGTTATAGACCCTAACCTGGAGTAAACTATTCCTTGTTATAGACCCTACCTGAAGTAAACTGTTCCTTATTATAGACCCTACCTGAAGTAAACTGTTCCTTGTTATAGACCCTACCTGAAGTAAACTGTTCCTTATTATAGACCCTTCCTGAAGTAAACTGTTCCATGTTATAGACCCTAACCTGGAGTAAACTATTGCTTGTTTTAGACCCTACCTGGAGTAAACTGCTCCTTGTTATAGACCCTACTTGGAATAAAATGTCCCCTATTATAGACCTTACCTGGAGTAAAATGTCCCCTATTATAGACACTACCTGGATTAAAATGTCCCCTATTATTGACCTACTTGGAGTAAAATGTCCCCTATAATAGACCCTACTTGGAGTAAAATGTCCTCTATTATAGAGCATACCTGGAGTAAAATGTCCCCTATTACAGACCCTACCTGGAGTAAAATGTCCACTATTATACACCCTACCTGGAGTAAAATGTCCCCTATTATAGACCATACCCGGAGTAAAGTTTCCCCTATTATAGACCTTACCTGGAGTAAAATGTCCCCTATTATAGACCATACCTGGAGTAAAATGTGCCCTATTATAGATCCTACCTGGGGTAAAATGTCCCCTTTTATTGACCTACCTGGAGTAAAATGTCCCCTATTGTAGACCATACCTGGAGTAAAATGTGCCCTATTATAGACCCTACCTGGAGTAAAATGTCCCCTATTATAGACCCTACCTGGAGTAAAATGTCCCCTATTATTGACCTATCTGGAGTAAAACGTCCCCTATTATTGACCCTACTTGGAGTAAAATGTCCCCTATTATAGACCTTACCTGGAGTAAAATGTCCCCTATTATAGACCCTACCTGGAGTAAAATGTCCCCTATTATAGACCCTACCTGGAGTAAAATGTCCCCTATAATAGACCCTACCTTTAGTAAAATGTCCCCTATTATAGACACTACCTGGAGTAAAATGTCCCCTATTATAGACCTTACCTGGAGAAAATGTTGCCTATTAAGACCATACCCGGATTAAAGTGTCCCCTATTATAGACCCTACCTGGAGTAAAATTGTTCCGTGATGGTGAATTTGTGCGGAACTATGCTGGCCCGGGAACTGCTGATGCTTTTATTTCTTTTATCAGGTAGATTTACTTTTAAACTTTGCTCCTTTGAATTGCACTTTTCCAACAGGGGTTAATATTCTTTTTTAGTTATTTATAATCACCCCCCCCCCATTCCATTTTGTGTAAAATCTATAAGTGTAATGAACATGTTTTTTACAATGCTATTAATAAAAAAAATTGAAAAATTTGTGTTTTCTGATTATGAAGTGGTAGGGGTGTAGAATCCAAATATTTTCCCCCTGATCTTCGGCTTTAAAGATTAAAATTATCCTGTTTGCAAATACAAAGTTTCCCCCATTGGTTAACAAGTTGTATCCCATGGGATACAACTTGTTAACTCAAGGATGAAAAGGTAAGAGAAGGATGGGTTAAGGTGAATGGAAAGAAGGAAAGGTAAGAGAAGGATGGAATGCTAGGAGAAGGGTGGATTAAGGTGAATGGACGGAAGGAAAGGTAGGAGAAGGATGGATTAAGGTGAATGTGAGGAAGGAAAGGTAAGAGAAGGATGGAATGGGAGAAGAAGGGTGGATTAAGGTGAATGAAAGGAAGGAAAGGTAGGAGAAGGATGGATTTAGGTGAATGGAAGGAAGGAAAGGTAAGAGAAGGATGGAATGGGAGAAGAAGGGTGGATTAAGGTGAATGAAAGGAAGGAAAGGTAGGAGAAGGATGGATTAAGGTGAATGGAAGGAAGGAAAGGTAAGAGAAGGGTGGATTAAGGTGAATGGAAGGATTGAAAGGTAGAAGAAGGATGGAACTACAATGTGTTTATGCCATACAGGTTAATTTAGGTTTAAGAACACTGAATAAACAAGAGATGTACATAGTAGGGACTATGCACGATCAGAATTAGCTAATTTCGTTAAAGAGACTAAATTTTCAGACACACGTTCTTTTTTAAAATTTTATCATTTTAAAGCATGAAAACACGTGTTAAACACATGCAAAAAATAAAAATGTATCTTTAAATTTCTGTAAGTTTCATTTAAGCAGAAAAAAGACGGAAATCGCCGTTATTTTGAAAACATTATTGGTTCTTTTTTATTTAGTTATTTGTATTTTAAATAACCTTTCAAATAACCACTCCCCTCCTCCTCTAAGTGTGACTCCCCTCCTCGTTTCTTTCAAATATTATTTCATGGCGGGTTTCCAAAATGTAGGACTCCCCTCCTCCTCTAAGTGGGACTCCCTTCCTCATTTCTTTAAAATATCATTTCATGGCGGGTTTCCAAAATGTAGGACTCCCCTCCTCTGACTATAGTTTCGAGAAATTTCTAAGAAATTCTCAGGACTTGGTCACCAATTGTGTCCCAGTAATGTCACCATAAGAAATAATTAATTGGTGTTAGCTGTCCCGTTTTTTCGTCCATTGGATTTATTTACACTACAGTACATAAAGCCAATGGACTCAAATATTCATATTTATTATTATGTTATGTCACAATAATCTCACCATAAGAAAAATTATTTATTTGGTGTACAGTCCCATAATTCCATCTATAGGTTTTTATACTGTATAAACTTGCCCTAGCTGCTGAAAAGTACGGTATTTCATTTGAACCTGAGTTTGAAGTGACGTATTTCACCTACTAACAATACCTTTATTTCCTATTATATGAAATGTTGAAAACTAGAAATGTATTTATTTGTTGAAAAATACAGGGTTATCCACAAAAGATGAGACTGAAAGAAGATCCCAAACTTTAAAACATTATGACGATTTGAAGCTAGATTTGTTGTTTCTGCATTCAATTGAGTATTTTGATGGTTTACTAAATGATTAAGCACAAAAATAAACCATATCTGTCCTACAAGGAATCCTGAATGTTAGAAAACGGACTAAATAAATTCCGTTCAATTGTCTCTGAAGTCTCACGTTTTGTGGGTAACCCTGTATCATGGTTTCCCTTGACATGCTGAAATGTTTAGACAGGAAATGAATCCTGGTCCTAAACTACTAAACACAAAAGAAGATGTAAATCTATTTACTGACAATGATGATATTCAGGAAATTTTTTTTAACTTTACCTGTGTCTAGGGATGGGCATTGTTTTTGAGAAAGAACAAAATTTCTCGTAAAAAAATAGAGTAGTTCAGGAAAAAATGAACAATGGACGAACGAAATGGATTGTTCAGAGAAACGAAAAGATTATCAGTTTTTAAAAACGAACGAAAAAAAACACCGAAAATGAATGATTTTAAATCGTTCTGACAAACAATCGTTTTCTTACCAAAGGAACGATTCTTTGGACAACTTTGATAAAAACAATAGTTTTTTTACTAAACGAACAATTTCTGAAAGAATGAAAAACTAACGGAATGGGTTGTTCACAAACAATGAACGAACGAAATAAAAGAAAGTCGAACGTGTCCGTCTCTAGTCATGCCCAGGCCTTTACTTTAGTTATCGCAAAAGGAATTTAGTGTTTGCGACAAATTCAAATTTTTGTATCCCAATATCTGCAACGTGATGGACGATGGTGTAAACCATTTCAAATTTAAATTATTATATCATAATTTGAAATATCTCAGGTTCTCAACATCTGGATGCAAATATATAGGGGATAGGAAATCAGAGTTTGTGGCAATGACTCAATTCCTTTCGAAATTATACGAAAGGAATACATTGGGAAAATCTAAAGTCAAAAAAAAAACTTCAACTCCCGTAGCGCGGCCCCTGTTCCGCGCCCATACTTCAGTCTTTTTCCTTAAAAAAATGTTCAATAGGTGGTTGCTTTCTTTGGGGCATTTTCTGCCAATCTGAAGGTATATATTTTTAAAAATAAAGAAGCAATTAAAAAATATGTTGCGCTGCTAATCCAAACAAGTCAAGATAAACGACTAAATAAAGAAGTTGATTTCTCTATGTACAGTCATTATATTTTTTCATATAGTTGGACCCATAATACTGTCAAGATAAAGACGACTAGAATCGTGAAATACAGTGTATATAGTAAATATAGGGTTTTACGAAGAAGTTTTCAAACATAGATGATAAATAATTCTATGACAGTTTTTATTTCAAGCAAGCTTTACAAGTAAACAAAGAACAGCTGAGCATTGACAACTTCTCTTTGTTTACATGTTTATGTTTATCCATGCTGTTTAAAAGATTGGTAGATTAAAAATTTTAGTTGAAAGTCGTCTTCATTAAATTGAATTGATGTAGGAAGCATACAGACTGGCAGTGGACCGTTTAGGGCAATCTGTTTTGTTTGGTAAATTTACTCTTTTTATAAACATATTTTAGATAATTTATTAATAGATTTTCTATAAAATGATATTCCAGGGCCCAAAAGGTTATATAGCACAAATAAGTGAAGTACACCTGCAGTATGGAAACAGTACAACAAAATGACTTTTTCAAGTAAATTCCCCTCTAATATATATTCTATTCTCTATGTTTATAGTTGATTCCAGTTGCTGCAAAAACTAATTGCAAATGCTAGTTATAACATGGCATTAATGAAAGAAACATAATATTTGCCACAAAGTGAACTTTTGTATACCTTATATTTTTGCAACCTAATGGTGTAAATATGTCAACTTGAACCAACAATATCTAAATAATTCATAGTTTGAAATATCAAGGCTCAGTTTCTTGCAATATTAAATGAATTACAGTTAAAGTAGTTGGGTTTAATTTAAAATAAAAAAGTGGGTTTCAAAATCTTTTTATTTTCTCCTAAAAACGTAGGATATCCCTTTAATGAAGTTTTTAACCCTATTCTGACTATCGTTTTTTTTGTCTGAGGCTGTTCACATTTTTTTTGCTGGGTCAAGGGCATTTCATAAATGTTTAATTTGTAATATTTCGCCAAGTTTTTTTTTTAAACTTATTGCTAAATAACTAGATTTCTCAATAACTATTTGGATTTTTGCAAATTTGCATTTCTTCTTCTGATTATTGAAATAGAGCCCGAAGGGCTTTAAAAAATGTATTAAATATTATTGATTAGTATCACATTAAGAAAATTACCCCCNACCCAATTATATAGATATTTTGTGTAAACCAGACGTAAGTCGGAATATTAAGGTTAAGATGGGACCCATAAAAAACTGTTGAATAAAAGAAGGCTGCAATAAATTTTCACTTTAGCAGTTTTCCAGCTTCATAATTTAATTCCAGCTGCTGGTAAAACTACCAATAGCTACTCATATCATCAAGTAACATGATATTGATAAAACTTGTCAACCTATTCCACAGTTTTATGAGTCTCTCTGTAGGAGCTGTCGAGGACCCAGATGTTGTAAAAGAGTTTGGAAAGTACGAAGATAGAATTGTAATGTTTAGACCAACTTTTCTTAAATCTTCATTTGAGGACCAGGTACAGAAAACACAATTTACTTTATCAATGTCTCCCATTTCAAAAGAAACTGTGATGTAATTTGTCTTGTAAAGTTTTACAACAAAGAAATTAATTTAAATAGAATAAAATTTTTTTAAAAATTGATTGAAATAAGTGTATACGATTTTTAGTTCAAACCAACATCTTTTTTGTTAAATAATCAAAGACATTCATTTTCAAATGTCATAAAGTATTTGATTTGCCCTCAATTTCTATACTGAAAATTGATCACCATCTGAGTTGGAAGCTCTAACTTTTGAGTCACTGGAACTAGTTAAACTCGTTCTACCCACCTGATCTATTTAGATCATGATTTACAATGGGCCAAGTGAACGTCCAAATATAACCCGATGGATAATGGATGAGTACCATGGGCTGATTGGTAAATATTGCTATTTTTAAATTAAAGGGACTGACGACCTAATTACAAAGAACCTTCTAATAAAAGAATATTTTACAATGCTCGTTTTGAACAGTTTCTTTTTAAATTTTTTAAGATCTAAATATTTATTTTGTAGCAGAGATTAAGATATTACAATTGTATTTACAACTTTCATAAATGGAATAACTACAATTGTGAACCATACCCCTAAAATTACCCTGTTGTAAGGTCGTCTCCGACACACTGTATCTCCGTTGAACCCTCCGTCCACTTACCAAACCAAACCTTTTCAAGGCTTTCGAGTAATATAAAAAAAACCTCATGGAACTTAACGTGCATTAAAAGAACCAATTTAAACCTAATTATCAGTGAATCATTTACAAATAAACAGTGAAATTACTTTAACCAGATAAATATTCATTTCAGAAGAATTAAATTGCTTTAGACTTCAGTTCAAACAACTTTTCGGCCTAACACAGTTTTCTAGATTGTAAGTTCCATATACCTAATTCACAACAGTACCTTTTTATTTATCAGTTCACAACAGTGCCTTTAAACCCTTTATTTATCGATTCACAACAGCATTAAAATATCCCCAAATCCTGCTAAACCTACCAAACCTAAAATCTCCAATCCTGCTGAACCTACAAAACCTAGAATTCCAATACCTTTAAGCCTTTGTTCAATTCTCAATGGTACATGTTTCCAAACCAATTGTTTGATTCACAACAATACTCATTTATTGATAAAACCTTAAACTGTTTAATCTTTATTAACAATTATTATTTATACTTTTTTCAAGAAGTTATCATCTATCTGTGTCTGGTAGAAAAGAGTGTTTTCCTTGCCAACTCGACTTATTTCCCTCTTTCGAGTATTATTCCTTTTGTTCGGCTCACAACATTATTTATTTTCTATATAAATGATTCATATGATAGACACAGATTAGACTTTGAATGCCAGTGCAATATTTCGCAGCTGACTCCCTCGTCATCCGTTGCTGAGAAACAACAGAACTTCCTGTAGTTATTAACCAACTGATATTTAATTTGGTTGTCTACTTTTTCATATGCTCTAATTGCGTTGTGTCTAACCGGGCAAACTGTACAATCTTTTTCTTCACAGAAAGTAAAAACTGGGTTTGCAATGTTCACAGGTGGTTTTAATTCGATTTCAAGTTCAGTTTCAGATTCTGGACCAGCTTCAGTCTCAAGTTCAGGTTCAGGCGCAGACTCAGTCTCAGGTTCAGGTTCAGGCGCAGACTCAGCCTCAGGTTCAGGTTCAGGGGCAGACTCAGAATCAGGTTCTGGTTCAGGCGCAGACTCAGTCTCAGGTTCAGGTTCAGGTTCAGGCGAAGACTCAGGATCAAGTTCAGGTTCAGGCGCTGACTCAGGATCAGATTCCTTAGTACCCTTAGGCCTGGAAAGAAGATTGGTGTTTTGTGTTGATGGTGTACATATCCCATCAAGCTGGGGAATAGGGGAGGAAGTGATGGATGGAGATCTTTTTAAACTTTGACTGAGCAACATTTTTGAAGATTTTTTTCAAAGAAACAAGGAAGTAATTGGACAGAATTTATCTCTCTTTAAGCTAACAAAACCTCGATATCTTATCCGTACCATTATAAATATTTAACGTTTAAAATGGAGTGCAGTCAGTTGAATTTACGTAAACAGTTTCTTTAATAAAAAATCATTTTTGTTGATTTTAGGTTTAAGGTTTGTTCACAATCAACATCAGTTTCCTGCCCCAGTAGTTCACATTTACATCAATTATGATCTAGAAATCAACCACAAGGAAAATCACAGCTTTTTTATTATAAAAGACAGTAAATAATCATAAGAATAGCATTTATACTTTTAACCCTATCACTATGGGGGGGGGGGTGTTTTCCACTTTTTTTCGATAAACTTTTTAACTCAAAAAAACATAGCAGCCTAACCGTTGTCAAATTTGTTTTTTTTTACTGAGCTGGCCTAGAATAGTTGGACTGCAGAACATGTATCCCATGCGTCACCTTCTCAATGGGGGGGGGGGGGAACCCCCCTTTCTATATTTGATAAAATAGCCCAATCGGGAAAGGTTTAATTTATGAGACAACTACTTAGAATAAGTTTAGTTTATTCTCTTCGACTTGAACCGATGTAAAAGAGATGGTGGTTAAACACGGCGACGTAGATCAACTACTTATAGCTATTTATTAAATCTGGTCCCAGATTGATTTAGTTCTAAATAATGAATAATTATGAAGGTGCTTAAAGAATATTCCATCATTAGATTTCTTAAAAATGTCCAAATAAAAAAGAAAAGTTGTAGAATTGTTGTTAATAATTTAGAACTTTCATTATTTGAGAAACAGGTTCATGGAACAGGCGAATCATTTCAAAGGAAAAACCAGGTCACATCTTTACTTACTGGGGGACCACAAGGTTGTTTAATAAGGTTGAAATTACTCTCGATGCGCTCCAAAATATGGAAAATGTTGTCTCCTAAGTAATGGATGCTAGTATATATTCATTTGAACCTTTACCTTTTCTTATTACAAACTCATTTGAATTAATATAAATTTGATCGACGGTATAATAGTCATGCAGTAAATGAGTAAAATTAAAATCATCTTTTTTATTAATTTAGCAACGGTTTTAGAGAATAATTTCTACTAAAGAAAACGTATCTGTATAATAAGAATAATAATAATGATATTACGTTATTGTTAAGAGTATTCCCAAAGCTTAAAAAGTTAAATAATTTTATACCATCTACAGCGACATTTATTAAAAATTCTGATAAAATTCATTATTTTCCGCTTACTCCTTTATCATTTCAGGTTTTCAATATCCCAGATAAACGATTATAAGGATGAACTGAAAGCGCTGGGAGTAAATCCTGAAACTGAATTTACAAATTCAGAGAGGGTCATAATCATTGCTTTTGATAAGGTATATTTTCGTCTTAGTATAGATATAAGATTGATCCCCTTGATTCGGCCTAGATTTACGCAGAATTCTTTAAAAAATAAAACAAAAATAATAATTTTGTTAATCGTGTTTTAAAACCTACTTGGCATATTGAAAAAATTGTAAATAAGAATATAATTAAATCTTTGAACCCAAGAACTTTTCTGCAGTTGCAACTTGTAAGTAAACTAAAGGACGGAGATATTAATGATTTTCTATATGAAAATTGATAATTTATGATCATCGGTTGTTTTAAAATCAATTGGATATGCCAATATATAAATGGATGGCAATTTGCTATCATTAGGTTCCTCTAACGTCCCTGGTTCTTAAACTTACTTAAACATAATTTCTAAAAAGTTTTTTCAAACGTTAGACTTTCAAGCTCCCCATTGAAACAAAGCGTTTTAACGTTAAAAAAATAATGTTACTTTACCATAAAACGCTAATGAATTAGGTTTCTGTTCCTGTATGTAACGTTAACGTCAGGTATACGCTCCTAATCCTATAACGTTCACGCTATAGGGAATACATCCAAACATTTCCTATTATTTTAACGTAACATACAAAAACGTACATCTTATGTTATGTTTCATTATTGTTGGCATCTCAAGTATGGACAGCCATTTTACATTTTGTATATTTATTTAGCGGAATAGAATTTACTTCTGAAGAAAGTACATTGCAACAGTTGCAAGAATATCAAAGTTCCTCAAACTCCTCTTTAATCTAAATATAATTTAGTTTGGACAGAAGTTTGTTCTAGACTTGCCAGAGTTCACCTTCAACAGATTCAAGGTACAATTCATTACAGGGTGTCTCATTTTACCTTCAACAGATTTAAGGTACAATTCATTACAGGGTGTCTTATAATACAGAGTTTACCTTCAACAGATTCAAGGTACAATTTATTACAGGGTGTCTCCTGATACAGAGTTTATATTCAACAGATTCAAGGTACAATTCATTACAGGGTGTCCCATAATACAGAGTTTATAATCAACATATTCAAGCTACAATTCATTACAGGGTGTCTCATAATACAGAGTTTACCTTCAACAGATACAAGGTACAATTTATTACAGGGTGTCTCATAATACAGAGTTTACCTTCAACAGATTCAAGGTACAATTTATTACAGGGTGTCTCATGATACAGAGTTTACATTCATTACAGGGTGTCTCATAATACAGAGTTTACCTTCAACAGATTCATGGTAAAATTCATTGCAGGGTGTCTCATAATACAGAGTTTATATTCAACAGATTTAAGGTACAATTCATTGCAAGGTGTCTCATGATACAAAGAGGGCAAAGATGTCGGGAAAATAATTCTTGACCTTTGATGTTCGCCATCGGGATGTCATGAGACTAAATGTTTGCTGGGCGTAAAAACTTAATTTAATCAAAAATAACGTTTTTTCTAGTTTAGAAATTCTTTTTCTATTAAGTTTTTCCTCGTTTATGAAATTAAAATGCGTAAGACAATGTTGTGAATCGAATTGCCACTCTTTCAATGGAGGATTACTTGAAGTTACGTTTTTTTAATGTCTCATCCTCATATTTTTTTTTAAAAATGCCTTTTTAAAATATTCCTATCATCAATTAAAAGGCACTTGAAATAAAAACTACCGTTGTATTTTAAGGAATTTCAGAATACGCATTCATGGATACTGCACCATTTTAGAACGTTTATGAAATACTAAAGTGAATCCCAGATATATGAATAAATAGCAAGGGTTTTTTATAATGGCGTATTTTCAACATATTTAGATCAAATGCCGCGTAAAAACTAGTTTACTAAATCAATTGTTGTCCTGTATATTTCAGGGCTGTTAATTTCCCTTGAATTAAAAATTAAAAATCAGTTTCTTTAGAATTATTAAAAAACTTATGACTCTTTCCTTTTTGGATGTTTTTTCTTTTTCTTTGATATTTTTTCATATATAGGCCAAAATGCTATCATGATTTTTTTTTCATATCCAGCGAGAACCAAAAAACTTCAAAACGCGTAATTGTTCTTTCTTTTACTGAGTTATCGTATTTTGTAATTTGTAATTGTTGCATCTGATCCATATCTAGAAATAAGAAGGTAAGTTTTAGAAATAGTTTAGTTGCTATTTACAAACTCCTTATTAACATAAAAAAAGGAAAGCAAGATTTTAAATGCTGTGTAGTATAGAGTTTTTTTTTTGTTTTCAGTGTTTTATTTTACATTTCTAAATATTGTTAATTAACCCTTACAAAAAATTCCCTTTTGATTTTATTGAAAACAAAGGTTAATTCTAAGTTTCATAAGATTTGATTCTGAAAATTTATTAAAAAAACAATGTTTGGTTTTAAAATGATAATAACTTTTGTTTTATTAAAAAGTAAGAATTAATTATCAAATTTTTCAATAAAAGGAATCTGGAAAATCTGATAAAAGCTGAATGTAATATTTGTCCAGCTTACAAACAGTAGACGTAATTTCAAGCGACCTTATAATTTCAGCATAGCATGTCAGATTCACAACGGTACCCTTTACCCTTGGTAACAATGAGGAGGGGAGTGTCGTTTTTATAAATATTTAAAAAAAAGTATTATATTCTGATAATCTTCTCCATGTTTCAAAAGCATCAATGTGTAAATTTCTTTTATTAAGACTAGCTACCTGTTCGGGCACTGAGGGAGTAGGAATAAGAAAGAAGTAGAAGCAGGTCAGCCTAAAGACGTGGGACACCCACAAACCTGAAAATAGTCTAGGAAAAAAGGAAATAGGACGGTGTGGGGGCGAACCCGAGAAGCCGGATAACGGGCCCCATACAAACAGGATAAGGATACATATCAGCAGTACAGTACACGAGAGAGAGAAAAGCAACTCCCCACACGTAAAAACAGAAGGTCGTCGTCCTTACATCGTTTAACCACTGGATCCAAGGATCAGCGCATAAACAACCATTGAGAAACCAAATTTGATTTAAATAAATCAAATTTTAGATATTTTTAAAGAATACCGTTGCTAATCGGATATATCATCCCGCCTTAAACATTTAGAGATACTTAAAATTGTACCAACAGTACTTTTCTACAGGTAGAAGATACCAAATATATTCTTGTTTTTGTTTTGAAGCTGCAGCAAATTTGAGATTAGTTGAAACAAATAGCATCGACGAGGATTTCTTTCTCTTTTGTCTTTTTAATGGGAACAGGGGAAACAGAGAGGCAAGCTTGGAACGTAAGAAAGGAATATAGAAAGAAAATCTTTAATGGTAGAAAGGAAAATTGTTAATTTTGAAAAGGAAGATAGAAAGGAAACCTGATTATGGAGGAAAACAAATAAGGAAAGGTTTATATATGTGAAAGGAAGGAAGGAAAGAAAGCTACATAGGTAAAAATAGAAAGAAAATCTATGTAGATATGACAGAAAATGTCGAAAGAAAAGGCTAAAACTGTGTGGTTTGAAAGGAAATGTAGAAAAGATCAATATTGGAATAGAGCCAACCGCCCACCGGAAGTCCCTGCGTTTTTACTTAAAAAAATATTGCAATCAAAAAAAAATCAAAATCGTCCATAGGGTTGCGATTTGACGACTTAATACCGTAAGGTCACAAAAAAAAATTTTATTTTTTATTTTTATGTTATACATCATTTTCTTGGAAATTCAGTGCTGAATTCAATTCTGAAAAGAGTTTTAAAAAATTGAAAATTGAGTTAGTTAGAGCTAAAAAACTCATCAAAAACATTAAAAAGTTACAAAACCGGATTTAGTACCGTTATTGGGCCATAACTTCTTCAGATTTTAATATATTTAAAAATGGTTTTCGAATCTGAATTCAGCATGAAATTTTGAAGAAAATGAAGTATCATATTTATTTTTGAAAATATTTCTTTTATGCCTTACGGCGATTTTTTTTTATTACAATTTTTTTTTTTAACTTAAAACGCAGCAACCTCAGTAGGCGGCTGGCTGATTTCTAAAAAAAAGTCACAAATCAATTACTCTTAATGTCCAGCATACATTTACAAGATAGGAAAACACTCCTAATTTTCAAATCATCAAAATCATATAAATCACGTTATCATTGCCCTCTTTACATGGAACACTTCATAAAATGAGTTAAAATTCGGCAAGGCAAACAACTTTTGAATGTGGAACAGTAGTTTTAAAATATTTTAGATTAGTTTAGGGTTAATTTTTTCTTATTTTACGCAATGCAGACTGACCCTTTTCTTCTATCTAACAAAATTCATAGTTTAAGATATCTAAGGTCTACAACATTGGGTAGCAAAGATATAGGGATTAGAAATAAAAGTTTGTGAACAACTCAATTCCTTTAGACATTCTTATCTAACAGAAGTCATAGCTTGAAATATCAAAAGTCTACAACACCAGCTTGCAAAGATGTACAGATTAGAAAATTAAAATTTGTGGCGAATTTTTAGTTCTTTTTTTATGTTACTTACAAAGTGAGTAAAAAAAGCGGCATTAGCTTTAGTATACAAACCACAATGAAAATGTTTTCAGAGTTCATGTTTGGGGTTAAAAAATATCAAATATAGTAAGACAAGTGCTAAATTTTTTTTAGCACAAACAACGCGAAATAAAATTATTTAGCATTTTTTCTTTAAAAAAAATCGATTAAAAAATCAGTTTTTTTCTATTCTAAAGTTTCATAAAAATCTATTGATGAATAAAACATAACAGGCATTTTCCATTTGATAAGTTGATTTTTTTTTTTCAATTAGGAAATCATTTACTTTATAACAGAAATTGCATATGTAAAATTTCTTAATGCCGTCTTCCTTTTCCAGAGTTTTAGTGGGTTTCATTAGACAATGGCAAATTAAAAACCTTTAATGTCCAAGAAACATTTATAAGATTTGAATTTTCACTAATGGCATGTTACAAAAAAACTCGTTTACACTTTAGAAAGAAACTAAGTTTTTTTTCAAATTTACTTATCCCTATATCTTTTAAACCCGATGGTTTAAACCTTGTACAGTGAAACCCTTAATAACGAATACATCGAAAGAATTCATCAAATGTCGTATTCTTCACTTTCTGATAATGGAATGTTGCAGATATTTAGTTTTCTAATTAAATGATTATATGGAACTCTTTAAAACTGTTCCCGCATATTCATGG